ATTCTCCTCCCCCGCTGCGCCCACCACACCTGCTCTCTGCGACTCACAGGTGGCCCTTTCCCTCACCTGTGCTTATAAAATGGCTTCTGGTTGTTCAGGGAGAATAGCTGTCGCCAGTGATCCCCAAAGTTTCTGGCAGCCAGATCATTTGTTTTGTCTGTGTAGAGCGAACTCCACCCCCAAGCCCCCCTTCATCCTCAGCGGCGGCCCCGGCTTAGGGGTGAGGATGGAGTCCTGGCCTTTGCGGGGTGTCCTGGCCTGTGTGGGGAGCGGGACCCAGTCCTGGCCAGCGCTCACAGGAACCACGCCGGTCACTCTCACCTGGTCCCACCCCTCTCCCGCCCTCCTCATCCAGGCCCCTCGTCTGGTTACTTCATCTCTTATTTTTCTTGCTCACTGTGTAGACTTTTGTGAGCTGTCTGAAGAAGGCACAGGGGCTGGGAAGGTGGCTCAGTGGTAGAGTGCTTGCCTTGCATGCATGAAGCCCTGGGTTCGATTCCTCAGCACCACATAAGCAAAAAGAAAAAAGCCGGAAGTGGCGCTGTGGCTCAAGTGGTAGAGCGCTAGCCTTGAGCTGAAGAGCTGAAGGACAGCGCCCAGGCCCTGAGTTCAGGCCCCACGACTGGGCCCCCCCCCCAAAAAAAGGCACAAGTCTCAGTTTAAAGCATGAATCACTGCAGGGGAATGAAGAAAAACATTATTTCCCTGGGCCCGGTCTCCCCCCACTTCCCTCCCTCCTCAGTGTGTGCACAGGTGCTGGCAGCCAAGACCCAGAGCTTAGAAACAGCCACAGGTGCAGAGGCAGGGCGTGTGGAGGACCAAGAAACGTGGTGAGGATGGGCAGTGCCAAGAGGGGGAGGGAGGGCCGTGAGAGCCCGCAGGGGGTCACGAGACCCTCCCCTCTGCAGGCCTCCCTGTGGGTGGGCAGAGCCGGTACAGAGCCGGCGCAGAGCCAGCTCCTCGAGATTGGCTCGCCATGACCCCCCCATTCCCCAAGCCTCCCCCGCGCACAGTCCCCTCTTTCTGCAGACATCACTTTTCCATGGCCCCAGCTCCTTCTCTAACTTTGGGTCAGAGATGAGGTCTACTGAGGCTCAGATGTCTCCGATTTGTCTCCTGGACGTCCAGTCCTGTCTTTGGAGTTCTGTGGCCCAGTGGAAGATGTGTGTGTAGGTTTCTGATGGTTTAGTAAATCTTTGGTGTAGTTATGGACAACCCTTCCTGGTGGCAGGGCCTCCTCAGCCTCTCTGTGTCACCCAGCCAGCTCCGGAGCCGCTTCAGGGCCGCCGCCACCACCAGGGAGTCCCAGCTCTGCAGTGAGAGGTGGAGGGATAACGTTTTCATCACTCCTCGTGTCTTTCCCATTGCTATGATCTTAATTCAGGGCCTTGTCATAGCTCACATGGATGACTAGTCCCCCATTGGATTTCATAGGCATCTCGTACAATCTTTTTTTTTTTTTGGTCCAGTCGTGGGGCCTGAACTCTGGGCCTGGGCGCTGTCCCTCAGCTCTTCAGCTCAAGGCTAGCGCTCTACCACTTGAGCCACAGAGCCATTTCTGGCTTTTTTTCTTATGTGGTGCTGAGGAATCGAACCCAGGGCCTCATGCATGCAAGGCAAGCGCTCTACCACTGAGCCACCTTCCCAGCCCTCGTACAATCTTTATACTGCTTCTTGGAAATAAATCACGCACATATTATGTCCTTGTTCAATACTTTGGTAAGACACGGTGAGGAGCCTGCGTGGGGAGTTGAGATGACTTTTGTTCTCTGTGCAGGTGTGTTGTGTCTTTGTGCATGCCTGCTTGTACATGTTACCATAGTTGTATATGTGTATGAGTGTGTTAGTGCATGCATGCAAGCACATCAATGTATGTGTTTATCAATATGCACACATGGTGCGTGATATTGTACATGTGTATGTGTATGAATATGTCCACACCAGCCTGTGTGTGTTAGTATGTGTGAATGTGTGAGTAGTGTATATGTATGGAAAGGCCTACCGAAAACCTCAGTGAATAATTTGGAAAACTTTCAAAGGATGGAAAAAGTCGCATTGTTTTCAACATCTGGAAAATTCCCTTGCCTAATAGGGTAACATTTTTTTCTAAGTTTTAACTGTTTTTTAAGTTATAATAATAATTCTGGCCTAGCTCAGTGTGTGTGTGTGTATGTGTGCGCGCGCGCACTCATGTGTGCCAGCATACATAGTTGCTTGGGATTTTAATCCACTGAGTAATCAGAGCTCAAGATAAAACTATAAATGACAAATTTAGGGTTTTTTTCCCCAGTGAGTTTGTTTTCCTTTGCCTTGGGGAGCTTGTGGACCCAGCTGAGACGATATAATTAATGCTCTTGTTTATCAGAGGGTCCTGAGGTTCCTCCAAGCTTCTCCCTTCTTGCTTCTTAGGTTTTTGTGTGGTTACCTCACCTCTTTATTGTATCCATTCTATCTTCACCCCAGAGACTGTCTTCTACATCATCTATTCTGCTATAGAAGCTTTCTATTTTTTTTCCATCTTCTATTTGGTCATATTTGAGGTTTTCTATTGAAGTCTTTTTTTTTATTTTAGGTTTTGTATTGACTTCATCTTTTTTTAACTGAGTGGTTTTTTCCAGCGGACTCCTTTGCCATCTCTTGGAATTCCGTGAGCTTTTTGTATTCTCCATAAATTCTTCCAATGATTTGTTCACAAAATGTCGTGTAAAAGCTTTCTGTTTTTCCATTGATTTTTTTTTTTTTTTTTTGGTCAGTCATGGGGCTTGACCTCTGGGCCTGGGCGCTGTCCCTCAGCTCTTCAGCTCAAAGCAAGTGCACTACCAGGGGAGCCACAGCACCACTTCCGGTTTTGGGTGGTTTATTGGAGATACGAGTCTCATGTCCTTCCCTGACCAGGCTGGCTGTGCACTGTGATCCTCAGATCTCCTGAGTAGCTATTACAGGCGAGAGCCACCAGTGCCCAGCTCCACTAAACATTTTTTATCAGCAGATCTTTTAATCTAGTTTGTGAAGTTTCATCTGGGGCCTTATCTGTTCTGTTGTCTGTTTGAATTTTGTATTTCCTTGATTTCTCAGATTTTTTGTATTTCTGTGATGGGTTTTAGTCATTTGAAGACCTCCTTAGTTTTGCAATCTTCTTTTTTTCTTTCTTCTCAGTTGGCTAATTGGTCGAGTCTGATCTTTGGTTGAGATTTACTTTTATGAAGACCATTCTGTGCAGGAATGCAGTGTGGTTGTGATAGGGAGCAGTGATATTAAAGCTTATCCATTGTGTGAAACAATTAAGGTTCTAAGGTAAGGGAAGGACGGAGAGGAATCATTTCCCAGATAATCTGTGGGTGAAAGAGGGATCGAAGAGGAGTTTAGAGAGGAAAGAAGGAAGAGTGGACAGGGAATGAGTGTAAGGAAGAGAAACATACGAGAAGCCTGTGGTCTGTTCCAGGAAGGAGCCGTGAGGAGATGCATCTAAACCCATACAGTCCTGTGCTGCCTGCTTGAAACAGCCCTGGCCACAGCCGGTGATCACCTCTCGATCACTGGGAGAAAGGTGACACAGAGAAGAGGGAAGGAGAGAAAAGGAAGATATGTACATATGTGTTTATATACACATTCATATGTGTGTGTCTATACATATCAAAACAATGCACAACTGCACATGCTAAGAACAGCACTGCAGAAAGAGTTCTCTGTGTTCTGCCTCCCTCCTCTGGTGATTGAGGGTGGCAATCACAGGATCCAAGTGCAAGTTCTCCACCCTTCAGTCTTCTGGGGGCTGCGGGTGGGTTTGTCGGCTGCAGGCTGGAGGTCAGATGGCCTGGGGTTTTCCCTGCTGCCTGGGGTAGACCCCGCCGCCGGCTGTGTCCTGAGCGGGGTCCTGTCCTGGGTACAGCTTCCCCCTCCCCTTTGTGTCCGGTGGGTTCCGGTGCTTGCTGTGGCTCTGGTGTCTCCGCAGTGTTTGCACACGGGCCACGCTCTTGTGTCTTGTCACACGGATGGGCCCTGTCCCCGGGGGCTGTGGGGTGATGAGGGGTCCTGAGGGTAGGCCGGACGGGCTGGCTTCTGCAGCCTTTCCTGGAGTGGGTATGGGCTAGGACCCAACCTGGGGCTCCCAGGCGCACACACTAGCAGGCACGCACACTCACAGGCGCGCACACTCACAGGTGTGTGCACATGCATGCACACTCACAGGCGCACACACTCCTAGGCGTGCACACTCACAGGCGTGCCCATTCACAGACGTGCACACAGGCACACTCCTAGGCACGCACACTCCTAGGCACGCACACTCCTAGGCATGCACACTCGCAGGCGTGCATACTCAAAGCCGCACACACTCACAGGCGTGCCCATTCACAGGTGTGCACACTCAGGCACACTCCTAGGCGCTCACACTCCTAGGTGCGCACACTCACAGGTGTGCACGATTGCAGGCGCGCCTCGGTCACAGTGCACACGCGTAGGCGCACCTCGGTCACAGTGCACACGCATAGGCGCGCCTTGGTCACGGTGCACACACTAGGCGCGCCTTGGTCACGGTGCACACGCGTAGGCACACCTCGGTCACGGTGCACACGCGTAGGTGCACATCACACTGCACACACATAGGCGTGTCTCGGTCACATTGCACACGTGTAGGTGCACCTCGGTCACAGTGCACACGTAGGTGCGTCCCGGTCACGGTGCACACGTAGGTGCGTCTCGGTCACGGTGCACACGCGTAGGTGCGCCTCGGTCACAGTGCACACGCATAGGTGCATCTCGGTCACAGTGCGCATGCGTAGGCGCGCCCCGGTCACAGTGCACACGCGTAGGCGCGCCCCGGTCACATTGCACACGCATAGGTGCGTCTCGGTCACGGTGCACACGTAGGTGCGTCTCGGTCACGGTGCACATGCGTAGGTGCGCCTCGGCCACAGTGCACACGCGTAGACGCGCCTCGGTCATGGTGCACATGTGTAGACGTGCCTCGGTCACAGTACACACGCGTAGACGCCCCTCGGTCACAGTACATGCGTAGACGCCCCTCGGTCACGGTGCACACGCGTAGGTGCGCCTCGGTCACAGTGCACACGCGTAGGAGCACCTCGGTCACAGTGCACACGTTGGTGCGTCTCGGTCATGGTGCACACGCGTAGGCGCATCTCGGTCACGGTGCACACGCATAGGCGCGTCTCGGTCACGGTGCACACGCGTAGGCACGTCTCGGTCACGGTGCACACGCGTAGGCGCGTCTCTGTCACGGTGCACACACGTAGGTGTGTCTCGGTCACGGTGCACACGCGTAGGCGCGTCTTGGTCACGGTGCACACGCGTAGGTGTGTCTCGGTCACGGTGCACATGCGTAGGCGCGTCTCGGTCACTGCACATGCGTAGGCGCGTCTCTGTCACAGTGCACACGCGTAGGCGTGTCTCGGTCACGGTGCACACACATAGGCGCATCTCGGTCACGGTGCACACGCGTAGTCGCGTCTCTGTCACAGTGCACACACGTAGGCGCGTCTCGGTCACGGTGCACACATGTAGGCGTGTCTCGGTCACGGTGTACATGCATAGGCACGTCTCGGTCAGGGTGCACACGCATAGGCGCATCTCGGTCACTGTGCACACGCGTAGGCGCATCTCGGTTATGGTGCACACGCGTAGGCGCGTCTCGGTCACTGTGCACACACGTAGGTGCGTCTCAGTCACAGTGCACATTCTCACAGGCGTGCCATGGCCACAGGTGCGGCTCGGCCGTGCTCTGGCGCCTGTGGGCTTCTGCCCTGCAGACTGCTTCTCAGTCCGGGGTCAGGCAGGCAGCACGGCGCCCTGCGCTGGGCTCTGGGGAGTGGGCGTCCTGGGCAGGTCGCCGTTGGACGCTGCCGGCTGCAGGTAGGTGCCGTCTGGGGGCCCAGCCCGGCCGGCTCTCCCTGGCCTCCGGCCTCCGTGTGGACAGGCCAAGCTCAGGTGCTCAGGTCGGCCTCTGCCATCCTGTCTCTTCCCACAGAGTTGAGTTTGAGACTCAATGCCAGTCAGGGCTTTTCTTCCCCTGGAATGAGTACTTCATCTGGGAGTGCGGTGAACAGCGGGTGGAACCGTGGCCGGCGGGGTGCCCTGTGACCTGGGGGGGCACTGGCCGCAGGAGGGGGACACTGACCACAGGAGGGGGACACTGACCACAGGAGGGGCGCTGACCACAGGAGGGGCGCTGACCACAGGAGGGGCGCTGACCACAGGAGGGGCGCTGACCGCAGGAGGGGCGCTGACCACAGGAGGGGGCGCTGACCGCAGGAGGGGGACACTGACCGCAGGAGGGGCGCTGACCGCAGGAGGGGGACACTGACCGCAGGAGGGGGCGCTGACTGCAGGAGGGGCGCTGTGTGCAGGAGGGGGAGCTGTGCGCAGGAGGGGACACTGACCGCAGGAGGGGGACACTGACCGCAGGAGGGGGCGCTGACCGCAGGAGGGGGCGCTGACTGCAGGAGGGGGCGCTGTGCGCAGGAGGGGGCGCTGTGCGCAGGAGGGGGCGCTGACCGCAGGAGGGGGCGCTGACCGCAGGAGGGGGCGCTGTGCGCAGGAGGGGACACTGACCGCAGGAGGGGGCGCTGACCGCAGGAGGGGGCGCTGACCGCAGGAGGGGGCGCTGTGCGCAGGAGGGGGCGCTGTGCGCAGGAGGGGCGCTGACCGCAGGAGGGAGCGCTGACCGCAGGAGGGGGACACTGACCGCAGGAGGGGGCGCTGACCGCAGGAGGGGGCGCTGACCGCAGGAGGGGGCGCTGTGCGCAGGAGGGGGCGCTGTGCGCAGGAGGGGGCGCTGACCGCAGGAGGGGCGCTGACCGCAGGAGGGGGCGCTGTGCGCAGGAGGGGGCGCTGACCGCAGGAGGGGGCGCTGACCGCAGGAGGGGGCGCTGTGCGCAGGAGGGGGCGCTGTGCGCAGGAGGGAGTGCTGACTGCAGGAGGGGCGCTGTGTGCAGGAGGGGGTGCTGACTGCAGGAGGGGCGCTGTGTGCAGGAGGGGGCGCTGACCGCAGGAGGGGGCGCTGACCGCAGGAGGGGGCGCTGTGTGCAGGAGGGGGCGCTGACCGCAGGAGGGGGCGCTGACCGCAGGAGGGGGCGCTGACTGCAGGAGGGGCGCTGTGTGCAGGAGGGGGCGCTGACCGCAGGAGGGGGCGCTGACCGCAGGAGGGGGCGCTGTGCGCAGGAGGGAGTGCTGACTGCAGGAGGGGCGCTGACCGCAGGAGGGGGCGCTGTGCGCAGGAGGGAGTGCTGACTGCAGGAGGGGCGCTGACCGCAGGAGGGGGCGCTGTGCGCAGGAGGGGGCGCTGACCGCAGGAGGGGGCGCTGTGCGCAGGAGGGGGCGCTGACCGCAGGAGGGGGCGCTGTGCGCAGGAGGGGCGCTGTGTGCAGGAGGGGGCGCTGTGTGCAGGAGGGGGTGCTGACCGCAGGAGGGGGCGCTGACCGCAGGAGGGGGCGCTGACCGCAGGAGGGGCGCTGTGCACAGGAGGGAGTGCTGACCGCAGGAGGGGGCGCTGACCGCAGGAGGGGGCGCTGTGCGCAGGAGGGGGCGCTGACCGCAGGAGGGGGCGCTGACCGCAGGAGGGGGCGCTGACCGCAGGAGGGGGCGCTGTGCGCAGGAGGGGGCTCTGTGTGCAGGAGGGGGCGCTGACTGCAGGAGGGGCGCTGTGTGCAGGAGGGGGCGCTGTGCGCAGGAGGGGGCGCTGACTGCAGGAGGGGCGCTGTGCGCAGGAGGGGGCGCTGTGCGCAGGAGGGGGCGCTGACCGCAGGAGGGGGCGCTGACCGCAGGAGGGGGCGCTGACCGCAGGAGGGGGCGCTGTGCGCAGGAGGGGCGCTGTGCGCAGGAGGGGGCGCTGACTGCAGGAGGGGGCGCTGTGTGCAGGAGGGGGCGCTGTGTGCAGGAGGAGGCGCTGTGTGCAGGAGGGGGCGCTGTGCGCAGGAGGGGGCGCTGTGCGCAGGAGGGGGCGCTGACCGCAGGAGGGGGACACTGACCGCAGGAGGGGGCGCTGTGTGCAGGAGGGGGCGCTGACCGCAGGAGGGGGCGCTGTGTGCAGGAGGGGGCGCTGTGTGCAGGAGGAGGCGCTGTGTGCAGGAGGGGGCGCTGTGCGCAGGAGGGGGCGCTGTGCGCAGGAGGGGGCGCTGACCGCAGGAGGGGGCGCTGACCGCAGGAGGGGGCGCTGACCGCAGGAGGGGGCGCTGACCGCAGGAGGGGGCGCTGTGCGCAGGAGGGGGCGCTGTGTGCAGGAGGGGCGCTGTGCGCAGGAGGGGACACTGACCGCAGGAGGGGGACACTGACCGCAGGAGGGGGCGCTGTGCGCAGGAGGGGGCGCTGACCGCAGGAGGGGGCGCTGTGCGCAGGAGGGGGCGCTGACCGCAGGAGGGGGCGCTGACCGCAGGAGGGGGCGCTGACCGCAGGAGGGGGCGCTGACCGCAGGAGGGGGCGCTGTGCGCAGGAGGGGGCGCTGTGTGCAGGAGGGGCGCTGTGTGCAGGAGGGGGCGCTGTGTGCAGGAGGGGGACACTGACCGCAGGAGGGGGCGCTGTGCGCAGGAGGGGCGCTGACCGCAGGAGCGGGCGCTGACCGCAGGAGGGGGACACTGACCGCAGGAGGGGGCGCTGTGCGCAGGAGGGGACACTGACCGCAGGAGGGGGCGCTGACCGCAGGAGGGGGCGCTGACCGCAGGAGGGGGCGCTGTGCGCAGGAGGGAGTGCTGACTGCAGGAGGGGCGCTGACCGCAGGAGGGGGCGCTGTGCGCAGGAGGGGGCGCTGACCGCAGGAGGGGGCGCTGTGTGCAGGAGGGGGCGCTGTGTGCAGGAGGGGGTGCTGACCGCAGGAGGGGGCGCTGACCGCAGGAGGGGGCGCTGACCGCAGGAGGGGCGCTGTGCACAGGAGGGAGTGCTGACCGCAGGAGGGGGCGCTGACCGCAGGAGGGGGCGCTGTGCGCAGGAGGGGGCGCTGACCGCAGGAGGGGGCGCTGACCGCAGGAGGGGGCGCTGACCGCAGGAGGGGGCGCTGTGTGCAGGAGGGGGCGCTGACCGCGGGAGAGGGCGCTGACCGCAGGAGGGGGCGCTGTGCGCAGGAGGGGCGCTGTGCACAGGAGGGAGTGCTGACCGCAGGAGGGGGCGCTGACCGCAGGAGGGGGCGCTGTGCGCAGGAGGGGGCGCTGACCGCAGGAGGGGGCACTGACCGCAGGAGGGGGCGCTGTGCGCAGGAGGGGACACTGACCGCAGGAGGGGGCGCTGACCGCAGGAGGGGGCGCTGACCGCAGGAGGGGGCGCTGACCGCAGGAGGGGGCGCTGTGCGCAGGAGGGGGCTCTGTGTGCAGGAGGGGCGCTGACCGCAGGAGGGGGCGCTGACCGCAGGAGGGGGACACTGACCGCAGGAGGGGGCGCTGACCGCAGGAGGGGGCGCTGACCGCAGGAGGGGGCGCTGTGCGCAGGAGGGAGTGCTGACCGCAGGAGGGGCGCTGACCGCAGGAGGGGACACTGACCGCAGGAGGGGGCGCTGACCTCAGGAGGGGGCGCTGACCGCAGGAGGGGGCGCTGACCGCAGGAGGGGGCGCTGTGCGCAGGAGGGGGCTCTGTGTGCAGGAGGGGCGCTGACCGCAGGAGGGGGCGCTGACCGCAGGAGGGGGACACTGACCGCAGGAGGGGGCGCTGACCGCAGGAGGGGGCGCTGACCGCAGGAGGGGGCGCTGTGCGCAGGAGGGAGTGCTGACCGCAGGAGGGGCGCTGACCGCAGGAGGGGGCGCTGACCGCAGGAGGGGGCGCTGTGCGCAGGAGGGGGCGCTGACCGCAGGAGGGGGCGCTGTGTGCAGGAGGGGGCGCTGACTGCAGGAGGGGGCGCTGACCGCAGGAGGGGGCGCTGACCGCAGGAGGGGCGCTGTGCACAGGAGGGAGTGCTGACCGCAGGAGGGGGCGCTGACCGCAGGAGGGGGCGCTGACCGCAGGAGGGGCGCTGACCGCAGGAGGGGCGCTGACCACAGGAGGGGGCGCTGACCACAGGAGGGGGCGCTGTGTGCAGGAGGGGGCGCTGTGCACAGGAGGGGGCGCTGACCGCAGGAGGGGGCGCTGTGCGCAGGAGGGGCGCTGACCGCAGGAGGGGGACACTGACCGCAGGAGGGGGCGCTGTGTGCAGGAGGGGGCGCTGTGTGCAGGAGGGGGCGCTGACCGCAGTAGGGGGCGCTGTGCGCAGGAGGGGGCACTGACCGCAGGAGGGGGCGCTGACCGCAGGAGGGGGCGCTGACCGCAGGAGGGGGCGCTGTGTGCAGGAGGGGGCGCTGACCGCGGGAGAGGGCGCTGACCGCAGGAGGGGGCGCTGACCGCAGGAGGGGGCTCTGTGTGCAGGAGGGGGCTCTGTGTGCAGGAGGGGGCGCTGTGCGCAGGAGGGCGCTGTGTGTCCGCCTTCTAGAATGTGGTGAGGCTGCTCTTCGAGGAGGCCAGCCCTAGGGCGGTGGCACCAGTTGAGGTCTTAGTGTGGTGGTGTCTCATGGAGCTGGAAGTAAGGAAGCTTCCATATATGACGTGGTCCTGCAAAGACAAATGCGCACCGTTGGCTTAAAGTGTGATGACTTGACCTTTGGAAACGGCAGTGGCTACCGCGTGTTCGCTCTTCGTGTGTGCTCAGT